AAGCTGGAGGAGGTGGCTGGGGAGAGGGAGGTCTGGGCCTCTCTGCTTAGGCTGCTGCCCCCGCGACCCGGCCTCGGATAAAGCGGATGAAGATGGATGGATGGAATTGGAAATCAGAGCACATAGATTAGCAATTTTCACTGTGATATCAAAATGAAATCTTACCTTCAAACAATCCAAATCACGAACCTTTCCAATCTTTATATCTTTATATCCTAATTCTTAAGCCTTCCATGTTTACCATTCCTACTAAATATGATAAATTAGTCAGTGTTCCTGCTGTGTATATGTTTAGTTTAGTTCTGTGTCTTTGTTCCTCTATTTAGTTATTGCTTCTCATTTCCTGACATTGCTTCTCACTGTGCCATTTATCTCTTGTCCAGTCTGTTTGGTTTTACTTCCTCCCCTGCTTCTGTGTGTTGTCTGCACCTGTGTTACTTTGCCCCAGCTGTCTGCACTTCCCTCCTACCTTATGTGCATAAGCAGTCTGCTGGTTAATTACAGAACAATCACCTACTAAAGAAGTACAGGTGAATGAGCTTGTCCCTTACTGCCTCGCTTCAAACCAAGACATTCTGCTCGAAAAGGTAGTTGAGCTCAATGCAATGACGCAATTCATTTGTTGTCAAAATGAGTTTTCATCTGCAGCTCCTCACACTGTAGAGGGCCCAGATGTCCCCTCTGCTCACTCCATCTCCTCCACACAGAGCCCTCTGAAACAGCTCTGCCTTCACCTGAAATCTTCGCCGCTGAGCTGGAAAAAGTTCAAGGTTTTTTAACGAATGTATGTTAGTTTCCAAGCAGCTTCACTGAACATGTGAACCTCAGATTTTGCTAAACTAACCTATAACCTATACAATCTCTTGACAGGCAGAATCCTACAATGAGCACAGGTTGTCATAAACTCAAATTCTGAGTTGTCGTATGCCAAATTTATTAACAAAGGGTGTGTTTTTTAAAACACCTACTTTGATGTAACTGCTCACTGCATGTACAATTTGCTGCAGCAAAAGCAAATTGTGGTGCATTATTCAGTGGACTGAAGGGTGGAAGGAAAAAACACTTGTGATGCTTTCTTCCATGGCCTGAGTAACCTGCAAAACATTTACCTGTTGCCCTTGATTAGCTTGTTTCTTTGTATGTCAGGCTTGATGACAACCTCCGAGAACGGCTGCTCCCAAGCCGCTTCCTTAAGAGCAACGAGCCAGTAGAGACCACCCGGTGGATGCCTTTAATTGTCTATGTTAGATATATTGCTAAGATTTGCAACTGATAACAAATGAGTGTTCTATGTCTTGTGTTTATTATTATTATTACTTACTATTAGTTACTGTTGCCTTTCTATCATATCAAAGCAATTTGACTATTCTCCTCTGACCTCGGGCATCAATAAGGCCCAGAGAACTACTATTCAGTGAATATTTTTCTTTACTTTGGTGATTCTCTGTAAACCTGAAAGAAATCCCAGTTTCTGAAATACTTAGACCATTTAGCACCAGCAACCATGACACACTGAAAGTCACTTAAATCACCTTCCCTCCCATTACGGAGCTTGGTGTGAACTTCAGCAGGTAGTTTTGATGTAAAACATTTCGTAAAATCTATTTTCACTTTTGTTACATTTTAGATACCAAATGCAGATTAGTAATGTGTGAATATGGGAGTGCCAATTTCATGAAAAATGAAATTAAACAGACTAAAATACACATAAAAGTGAAAATTTCCCTCTTGAAGGGAAAACTAGTTTATCTCTACTTTGGATTTACATGTCAGTTAATACTGCTGCTAAAATCAATAAACACCACTTAATTCAACAGTACAAAATGCAAAATAAACATTTATTGAACATGGTGCAAAAAACTAAAAACAAAAGGAAAACAAAGTGTAGGTATCCAACTGCTCCAGCACATGACGGAACATTCATCACATCATTATGGCTGGAACCTACAGGACCCTGTCCAAAATATGGGAGCTCCTCTTTCACACACTTGAGGAACATAATATTCCTCCTCTGGATGCTCTGTGGTCTTCAAGGAGATTAGTAATCCACAATTTTTCCATCATTTCAGCTGCAACACTACCTGCAAGACATGAAGACCATTAAATCATTACGACTGGGTTGGGGACTTTGTGTCAACTTTCCCTGTGCCTGGGTGCGTTCTTCTTGGTTTGTCCCACAGGCCAAAGACAAGCGTGTTATGTTAACTAATGATCCTAAACTGGCAGTAGATGTGAATGTGAACACAAACTGACCACATGTCGAGGGTGTATCTGGCCTTGTGAGCTGTGTGAGGCTCTAGCCCTCTCGTGACACTGAATTCGATCAAGCAGTTAAGGAAATGGATGAACGAATGGAAGTGCAAATATTTACTGTTTGCACAAATACTTTGGAAATAATTTCACACCCAAGATACTTGCATATGTTTAAATAGATGCTGCAAAGGGCTATACTACTATATGCACTCCTAAGAAAACTGTATATAGTAGTGTTATAGTAGTGTGTATATATCTCTAATGCATTTAATATGTTTTACCTTATTAGCAGACTCTAATGAACTGATGAGCATGCCTAGCTCATCTCTGTTCATCTCCAAAGTGACAGGCTGGAGGACTCCATTTTCTCGCACATCTAGACTGAGACTGAGCAGAGGCGTGTGGAGAGATGATATCTTATCACTGGACAGAGCTAACTGAAGGAATAGACGAGAAAAACAACATAGAAGAGATGAAATGTCTGTGCTTACAAGGAAATCTGACAATGAGTATGATCTTTGTCAAACCGATGCTACCAGAATAAACAACAATGTTAAGAATTCAGCTCACTGACTCATGCGGCTGTCTTTGACCAGTCAGTGGGATACAAATTGCCTTCTACAAACACAAATGAAACATGAGCTACAAATGATCCCAGTGTTGCTGACAGGTCGACAGGCCACTGTGCTCTGCCAATGTTTGTTTAGAATTATTTTTGCTTGCCTGAATTTGCGATTGCATAAAATTATCCATATAATCCCTTATCAGTAAAGTTTTATATGGTGGTGGTCATGAACAAGAACAACTATCTGGAAAGGTTAAGATTTCATATTATCATTTGAAATAGTGATAACCACCTCTGCGGGAAAAAAACTTCTGATTTCTATATGATCGAAAACCTCAAAGCAAAACTACTAACGTTTGGACACACCTACTCAATCAAAACTAAGATGTCAAAACTACAAAATAAAGACAAAACATTTAGCTGATTTATTTGAAACGTAATATTTCAGATTCTAGATGACCCGGTTCACGAGGCTGGGTTTTCAGTAACTAAAACATGTTAAGTTTTAGAGCCTCTGCCATTCTCAGTGTAGTTAAGGCCATCACTTGTGTTTTGTAGAGGGAGTGTTGGTACACATCACTAACAACAACTACTACAGAAAGCCATGACTACACTACCAGTAACATGTTTGTTGGAATTTAACAAATATTTTATACAATCTGTAGAAGAATTAATGCAAAATTTCAGCTCTCCAGTTGTAACTATTAAAAATAGCCCTAT